CAGCAGATCAACACAAATACTTACTACTGCTGAAGTGGTAAAAAGGAGCATGTGGGTTGTTGTTTTAATAACCCACATGTCAACTTTTTTATGTTACAAAAATCTGACATTTTATTTTATAAATAGAAAAGCTGAAAAGTGTTGCATGCAGTGGCATTCGACTCCCTTTATTCTATTTATCCTAAATAAACAAACAAGATCAAAACTGATACAAAACTGATATTTTTTTTTTGCGTTACTTGGAAAACAATATCTATGTTGGAAAACCGATAATACACGTCCCTCTGAGTAAACAGTGCTTATGTTAAAACATGGTGCTGTGTTACTTCATGTAGGTCTGTCACAAACAATCCCAATAAATACATTAAAATAGAACTATAATGTGACAAAAGTGGCAAAATATTGCAGGGAGTGGCAGACTTTCTACTTCATTTTTTACACCGTCTTTGAATATTCATTGTGAAGACTTTTATTACTGTATCGTTTCTAGCAAGCCCTCAGCGAAACTCAACGAAGGGAACATCATCTACTGTTCAACAACAGGTACTGTTACCATTTTCACATGAAGCTCTTATGATTGCAAATGACAGTATTACATTGTCCTCCTCTTGAACAGGTGTCATTTACAGCAGACAATCTGCAGCAGCTGCTACTACAGCAGCAGGTAAGGACGCATCCACTGTCCTCTGCTGATAGAGCTTTACATCGGATTCTTCTCCTGTATCGTTCTCGATCCTGCTTCTCTTCTTCTAAAGATGATGCAGACTCAGTTGCTGGGTCTGGGTAGTGCTGCTGACTCGGGAGCTCTGCAGAGACTTAAAGAGAAGGAGCAACAGCATGGAGAATGTCAGGCTTTACAAGCTCGCATCATCCAGCTGGAAGGAGAGGTAGCTGCTAGCCAAGCTCCGCTTTTCCTTCGCTGGTTGGGTTCACTGCCCTGAACACAAATCTGACATTCCAGGTGAAGATGCTGCAGCTGGAGCGGGACCAAAGCCAGATGATTTTAGAGAACGTTCAACACAGGCATAAGCAGAATATGCAGCTCCTGGAGAACACACACAGGTAATACACGTCGAGTTAAAGGGGGACGGGGGGGGGGGCGGAAATAAACTCTCTGCATTTAAAGTTGCGTGTGCTTTGCAAGTGTCGCATGTGTTTATTTTAAGAACTCGTGTGAAGCTGCTGGAGGAGTCGGCAGCCCAAAGAGAGACCCAAGCTCGGTTGGAGTGCGAGGAGCTAATGGAGCGCCTGGCTACGTTAGCAAGGTCAGCCGAGCAGGAGCGCTCAGAGCTGCAGGCTCAGTACCACCGGAAGCTGGCCCAAGCCCAACAGGACAGAGACCGAGAGGTGGAGAGGCTCCGAGATCTTCAACGGTAAGATGGAATCATTTAAGCAAGAAAAGAGCCCAAAACAGACACAGAATCTATTTTTAATACTGTGTGCATATATATAATCACCATGTATTAGTTTAGTAGGTCAAAACTTTCATGATTGTTGCATTTGGTACATTTATCCTATTGTTCTTTCTAGAAAATCTATCTTAGAGATGAAAAAAGACCACGAGGAACAGCTTCAGAGGCTGAAGAGATTAAAGGACGAAGAGATCGACGCTGTTACAAGCGCAACATCTCAGACCAGGTGAGACTTGGTCATTTATTACCTTCCATTTTCTGCATTTTCTTCTCATCCTGCAGGTAAAACTGGACAATTGGGGCTGTACTTTCTATTTTAATGCTGAGCCCAGACATGGCAGTGTCAACACAGCACATTTTCTAATCCCCACTGCTCTGCCCTCTGTCCTGTCATTAACAGGACAGGGCATAGGAAATGACAACATTTCTAAACTTTTCTGCATGAGGCAGCAGATTTCAAAAAGGTGATATTGTTCAGGAAAGACAAGGACACTCTCCACCTCAGTCTGGGAAATCCAAAGGCATTGCAGTCCAGAAGGAATTACAGAGATTGCTGGGTGTGAATCAGGGTTTCCTTTGAGTGTGACATGTCTAGAAAATGTTCAAAGGTAGATACCCCAGAATGCCGTGAAACACCTCCACTCACAAAGCATGGCAGCTCTTTCTCCATTACAACAGACCCGATCAGGGGCCTGCAGCTTCAAACCGATGGTCTATATCTCATAAACATCAAGGCACTATGATACTTGAACTCTTCCACTTGAGTCAGTGTCTGATCCCCAACTTCCTTCTGTTACACAGTCCGAGAACTAAAGCATTTCTTTACTGAACAGCACCAAAATAACTTGTTGTATTATTTCCTTGCTATCCCAACGTACATTTCCCAGAACAGCTCCCAAGCTAATCCACGTCTAACTTTCCACATTACATTTGTACAGATCTCTCGCAGGGGTGATTGAGCAGATGGAGCAGTTCTCTTCTCGGCTCGGAGAGCTCTCTTCTCGAGTGGAGAGCACGCACGAGCACACCGCCCACGGCCTGGAGCAAGGGGCACGACACCGGGACGAGCAGCTTCGAAGTATGTACGTCCACGCTGAATGGGCAGGAGAATCTGTATTAAAAACTAAAAGTGTACGCACCTGGCTTCTCCAAATCTTCCAGTAATGCAGGAACGTCTGGCCCAGCAGCAGAAAGCCATGGCAGAGGAGCGAACGTACCTGAAGGAAATCATCTCAAGGATGGACTCTCAGATCAGCGAGCAGCAAAGGCAGCTGGAGAAGGTGAGCAGACCGTATCGGGGAATCGTTGCCGTGGTTGACATGTGTTGTTACGATTGCTCTAGAAACGGCTCTTGTAGATCCTCAAAAATCGTTGTGACGCTAGCTTTTATTTGCTTCAGGAACGCTGGAAAGTAACGGCGGAGCAGGCCAAGGCCGAGTCCACCCAGAGGGGTCTGGAGGAAGAGCGACGCATCTTCACCATGCAGATCAGCATGGAGAGGGAGGAGCTGGAGAGAGCGAAGGTGAGACCCGACAAGCACCACAGTTGCAACTGAGGCATTAGCGGTTGCCGTGCAACCTCACCACGTCTGCTAAGCGTCTGTCTGCCCTTCAGAGCTCATTGCTGGAGGAGCAGAAATCTGTGATGCAGCATTGTGCAGAGGAGAGGAGGAAACTGGCAGCGGAGTGGGCTCACTTCCACACGCAGGAGAAACAGAGGCATGACAAAGCCGAACGGGAGGTCAACAGCCTCTTGGAGAGGAGAGAAGGATCCATCATTGGTCTGGCACAAGTGAGTCACGCAATCCCTTTTGTTTTGCTTTATTAGGCTGCTGTAGTCTTAGAGGAAAGGAAATCCAGATTTCCATTAATGTATTTTCTGTTTCGCAGGAACAGGCTGACTTGAAGCTTCGCATGGCTGAATTAAAGCAGAAGGAGATGGCCGTGACACAAGAGAAAGAGACTCTTGCGAGACTAAGGGAAGAACTGGACAGAGAGAAGGAGACAGCCAGTAGTATGGCTCTGAGACTCAAAACAAGGGCCGAAGAGGTTGAGGCCTTCAGCAAGGTGATTTCCTCCCACACTGACCCCCGCAACCTTCAAAAGGTTCCAGTTTTGACTGAACTGTTTTGTTTTCACAGCTTGCAGCAGAGAAGTACGAGGAAGGCGAGCGAGCATTGCTAGAGGCGAAACGCGTGGAGTCGGATCATGTGGCTCGACTAAGAAATATCCAGGTTCAAACGGAGAATTTGAGGCAGCAGGAGCAGCGGATCCTAAAGGTGCGTCATTGCACAAAGACCTCGATCCGTCTTAAAAATCGCTTTTATTGGGTATTAAATAAAAATGTGACGTTACAGGAACGCATGCAAGGAAAACATCTGCAGGAAGATACAGAAAGGCTTAGGGAATATTCCATCATCTCACCTTTACCTCATATTATTCCACCTATTTTAACAGGTTTGACTGAATGTCTGATTTAAGATGTATATTTTTCTATATAGAGGAAAAAAAATATCATTTTAACTTATTAGTTTCTTCTGTAGACTCTGTTCCAGTGTTTCCTTCTTTTCCTGAACCGACAAACGTCAGGAATAATCCTTCAAATCCTCTGGACAACTATCAGTCCATGACACTTGAGGCCAGTCTGGCCCTGTGGAAGTACACGGCGGAAAAGGTAACTGGTTATTCTCTAGTCACAATTCAGACGGTTTTTTTTTTTCTTGCCAGCTTTTAAAGAGTAAATACAAATCTTAGAATGCAGCCATTTCTAATGGTCAGATTATGAATACAGTCAAATCCTCAGACTGAAAGATGGTTAAAAGCCTGAAAATAGAAATGCTTTGCTTTCCATACATTTTAAACCTCTGTCCAGTTATTTGTACTTGGGAATGCTCCTGAAAGTGTTTAAAACTTTCCAGTAAATAAATGTCAGCATAAAGATCCAAAGTTATTCTGGAAGTCTGTATTTTATGACAATTCACTGCCATAATCTTAAACACTCCAACCAAAATGCATTTATATTTCTAGATTTTAAACTTTTACAAAGATTTTGTATAATGAAGCTGAGTGAACCCTTTCCATAAATGTGAAAAACGTAACCCACTTAGTACTAAGCACTTTAATACTAAACTTTTTAAAGCTTTCTGGTTGCAGACATTGCATAAAAACCAGTTGTTTTTATGCAATGTTTTTATGCATAGTCTGACTCAGACTATGTGTCTGAGTCAGACACATAGTCTGACTCAGACATTTCAGTTTTCAGTAATCTTGGTAACAGATGAATTAAACAACTTAAACCAGACATTTGTTCCATTAAAGATTTTATTTTCAGAAAATTGGTTCAAAAAACACCTCAAGTCCTTTTCTTCCATGAAAGCTTTCCTTATACATCTTCAGAAACCAAGAGCTTCACATTTTATCTCCCACAGGACCGTGAATTCCTCCTCGAGGAGCAGATTTTTCTAGAAAATCTAAAGAAGAAATCCTACAAGTTCAATGCAGACAGTAAAACCTGCTGAGCCGGTTGCATCTTTGGATTTATATTATGTCTGTACAGTTTTTAAATAAAGTTATTCCAATACATGTGGTTTGGCTCATTCCACCATTTTGCTCTCAATTTTAATTAAGCATCACGCCTCCTGATTCCTTCAAACTGCTCTTGTGTCGACTTGTTTACCCAGATCTGTAAGGCAAAGAAAAATATGTAAAACATTACATCTTACTGATTCATAGAAATATGATGCATGGCATTATGAACCAAGCCTCAGGTTACCAGAACTCAACAAAATCATTTTTTCAGACAGGGATAACTTGTATCATCACTGGCTTGATTTAAAATTACAAGCAAATCTTAAAAAAAAAAAAAAACTTACACAGCACACAGCAGTGTCCTCAAGAGCCAAGAGAGGTCTTAAAAATTCAGCTCTTGCAACTGATGCACCTGAACCTAGGAAAGATACAACCTGTTGATTATTGTATTATTAGAAAATACATAAAGCTTAAGTATTTCATTTCTCAGAAACGCTCTGAATAATCGTCAGTTGTCGCATCAGACGGCACTTCCTATGCAGCGGTTTTCATCACTGAAGAAGGCAGAATAAATAATACAAATTGTGCAGGACAAACCTTTTTTTTGTTATTGTTGTACACCTCTTCTTCCTACTTATGGATCATCTCCACAGCCCTGCAACAAGATATGACGTTATTGATCTTCCATCATGAACACTTGTCTTTACACATCACCCTGCAGTAGATCAGACAGCATTGATTTCCACACCGCTGTTTCAGACAGGGATAACAAACTCGTCACATGAACTGTAGAAGAAAAGTTCACAAGTTGTCTGGATGTTTTACCTTCTCAAAGTTAAGTCTTCAGCAACATCTCCAGATGGAAGCCTGCAAATAAGCAGACTGTTTTTAATAGATATATTTGTTCCGGCTGTCTGATAAGCATTAAGTTTCATTCACATTATTACAGCATTCATTGCACCACATCACCGGACTTTAACACGTGGTAGCCGGGCTAGCGACGAGCTAGCAGTGACACATGCTTCATCTGCCTGCCGGCTGTTACACAAATAAGTTCGGTTAGTTGTTTAAAAATTACCTATTTAAGGCGGGTCATCTCTGGAGGACGTCACATTATTAGGCAAGTTCAACTGTATGGCTATAATCATTGTTACAAAGTCGCTATGTTCACTGACTACACTACTTCCCATCGGAGAGATCTGGAGTGTCTGAAGTCTCGCGGTGTTGGGTTTTTATATGTCGCAAACGTCACGAGTCACGTGATTTATTACGTTTCATTTAGGGGGAAATAATTTAAAGTTGCTACTTTTTCGCTGAAAAAACAACAAAAGCATGAGAACAAAATACGTTTAGCTTCTTATACCTACATTTGACATAAATACCAGTATTTGCCATATGAGCTGTTATTTGGACTCACTAACACTGCATAAACTCTGAAAAACAAAGTTTCACTTGATAATTGTGAATGTTAGTTTTTTCTATTGCGTTTACTTATATACATTTATGACAAATGATGTCACAGTTTATGTGTAATAATAATAAAACTGAAAAGTTACTCGGAAATTATTTATCAAAGTTGTTACAAAGTATGATTTTTTTAATGCATACTTTTCTCTCAAACAAATTTACATTATTAATAATGTATGCTGGTGGTTTACATTTTTATGTAACAGTTTTAAATTAACTTGAATGAGTTAGGCTTTGTTAATTATATTTAAGCTAAATCAAACTGAAACTACTCATGCGAAGGTATAATCTGCTGTGATTTATTTTTTCAGTAAGTGCATAAAATTATTTTCTTCTATGTGAGCAGGTGGCGGGGGGGGGGGGGAACCTTAAAATATTTTTTACAATTTTTACTAAAATAGGTGACCAA